TGACTGTAACTTTGTCGCTTGTATCCTTACAATTTATATGGACTGTTTCCTAGTATGATTTGATGGCTTATTGTACCCTATGACTATCACTAAGTGTTGTACCTTATGATTCGTGACTCTTGACAAATGTTTCTTTTCTTTTATGTACACTGAGAGCATATGCACCAAAGACAAATTCTTTGTGTGTCCAATCACACTTGGCCAATAAAGAATCAATATAAGAAAACAGCAATGCAAACTCGGGCTGACAGCTGGTGTAACAAAGCACTGCATGGACAGTTCCTTGAAAAGATCCAAGGGAAAGTAGATAAGGAAAAGACCTTGTTATGGCTGATCAACGGAACACTGAAGAGACAGAAGGCCTGATTCTTGCAGCCCAAGAACAAGCCATCAGAACGAATGTAATCAAAGCCAGAATAGAAAAATCTGCTGATGACCCCAAATGCGGACTCTGCAAAGAAGCGGACGAAACCATCGATCACATACTGAGCTATTGCAAGACAATCACTCAGACTGACTACAAACAACGTCACACACAGTCGTTCAGATGGTCCACTGGAACTTGTGTCACAATTTCCATCTGCCTGTAGCAAAGAACTGGTGGGATCATAAGCCTGAAAAGGTGGTCGAAAATGAGCATGCAAAACTACTGTGGGACTTCCGAATACAGACTGACAATGTTTTGGAACACAATACCTCGGATATCACAATTGTGGAGAAGAAAAATGTGTGGATCGTCGACATTGCCATTCCTGGTGACAGCAGAATCGATGAGAAACTTGAAAAAATCACCAGATATCAGGACTTGAGAATCGAACTGCAGAGATTCTGGCATAAACCAGTGCAGGTGGTTCCAGTGGTACTGGGCACACTGGGTGCTGTGCCTAAAGACCTAGGCAAGCACTTGAAAACAATTGGCACTGACAAGATCACCATTGGTCAGCTGCAGAAGGCCACCTTACTGGGATCTGCTCACATAATCCGCGGATACATCACACCGTCCTAAATGCTTGGGAAGTGTTCTAGTGATTTGTGATATGAAACCCAGCATAGTTACCTCATTTGCTGTGTACACTGTAGTTTTTTGTGAATAATAATAATAATAATAATAATAATAATAATAATAATAATAATATACCAGTTATCTCATTTGCTGTGTACACTGTCATTTTTTGTGAATGATAATCATCATAATCATCATAATAATTAAAAAATGTGACACAGATGTTACTCAACTTAGATAAATCCCCTTAGGAACCTCCTAAATATGAAACAAGGTTCACAAACATTAAGTTAGAATTAAAACTGTTAAAGAGTTAGAAGCTGAAACAACTGCACTGGATAAGATATTTCAGACTTTGACAACTCTTGTTACACAAGAGTTGTATATCTGGTACTTGGCCTCAATTTTATAAGCAGAAGTAGAACCTCATCATGATAGGAGATAATAATTCTTGCATCCAATCCAACCAAACCCTCATGGAAATTATCTAATTTTATGCACCTTCATATTCATATCTTCAATGAATCCATTGTCAACACAACACAAGATGAATCAGTTGACTATCCCATCTAAGAGCAGTGTGGGTTTTTGTCCTAGTCATACATGTGCAGATTAACACAACAAGGAAAGAAATATTTATTTTCTAAGTTTCCATCCCAAGCCCTTTTCATTTTACTCAAATGAATTCCTGGGCTTTTTAGAAGATGATTCTTTCACACAAGGAAGGATGTGAATTTGCAAGTCATTTGAAATCACAAGTTATAAAATGACTTTCTTTCACAGCTGGACAGAAACCTTAGATTATGGTGAATAAAGGAAGGAATTGCTTCATTCCTGTCCTTTGGGGTCAACTTTAGAACAGACAACCAGACTCTGTGGCAGGAAAACAGAAGACAAAGAATGAACCCATTGTAAAATCTTTTAAATGCATCTTCTCTAACATACAGCTCTCTCTTACACACTAATAAAAAAATCTACAACACAAAGAGACAAATATATCTTTCTAAAGCTCTCCATAGCTGGAACACACAATGAACTAAGCCATAGTTTGTTTCCCAGGCTACAACTGGGCTGGTTGGCACAACACCAAACCGTCAATCCTGGTAGATCTAGGGCAATGGCTACCTTGGTGTGCAGTTTTAAATTCAAAGCAGACAAACCACAGAGGGTCTTCAAACTCAACTTGTGGACTTCAACTCCCAGAATTCCTCCTCCAGCCATGTTAGCTTAGGAATTCTGGGAGTTGAAGTCCACAAGTCTTAAACTTGCCAAGTTTGAAGACCCTTGCCTTAGCAGAATGGATGAATCCAACCATAGCTGGAGGGAAAACACAATTTGCAAACACAACTCATTGCATATTTATCAGAACAAGCCACTGTGTATATACACAGACTTACTCTTGGAAATAACAGTGGGGTTGTAGTGGGTCAAGCTATTCTCCAAAGCACCTGAAGGCAGGACAAGAAGCAACTGATGGAAACTAACCCAGGAGAGAAGCAACCTGGAACTAAGGAGAAACTTCAAGACAGCGAGAACAATTAGTCAGTGGAACATCACTGGGGCATTTAAGTAGAAGATTGGACGGCCATTTGTCAAAAATGGTGTAGGGTCTCTTGCTTGGGTGAGGGGGTTGGACTAGATGACCTCCAAGTTTGTCAGTCTGTTATTCTGATAGAGGTTTGGGTAGACAAGACCAAGCTCATTAAAAGTTCATGAGTCAATCACTTTCTCTTCCATAAGGTGCCTGGAAAAATGACAACTACTATTCAAACAAACATTATTATGGTTTCACCCCTCCGTTCCCAAAAACATTTTGTCTTCCACACGCCCCTGAGAACATCAAAAGAGGTTTAAAGACACCGTGAATGAACTGAGACTCCCCCAGCCACCCAAGAGGCTGGAACTTCAAAGCTACAGGGTCACCCTCTCTTTATTTTACTCCCTCCCAACTCCTCTTGTAGAGGAAACCGCCCCAGTATTTTAATTTTTTTACTAGTTGGGGGAAAAAAGGGGTTTGTTTTTCTCCACTGAATAAGCGACCAGGAGCTGGCATGGCAAAGGACAGGCTGGGGAAAAAGAGAAGAGGTTTGTGTCCATGGAAAAACTTCCACATTCAAGCAGGCACAGAGAGTAGAGATTTGGCAGGATTTAAAAGCCACCTAAAATATAAATAGCTACTACAGGAAGAGAGGGAGGGGGTGTATCTATCCAGCTCATCCGAAAGACAGTGAACAAGAGAGATATACAGTACATTTGCTCCATAGATTTATTTTTATTTCCCAAGTAAGGGCAACGAGAACCAGTCTTGGCAAAAACAGGCCATAATGCAAAAAAATAAAATAAATAAATCATTTTTTGATTTCTTTTACAGGAAAAAAAAGTTTGTAAATCTCTCTCCCTCTCTCTCCCCTCTCTGTTTAACCCACCTCCTCTCTCTTTTTAAAATCCAATTTCATCTTACTTCTGCAGCAAGATAGAAGATAGAATTTTTTAATTGGCCAAGTGTGATTGGACACCCAAGGGATTTTGTCTTCCGGTGTATAAGCTCTCAGTGTACATAAAAAAAAAAATCATAATGAATCATAAGATACAACACTTATTGATAGTCCTAGGATACTAAACAAGCAATCCAATCATACTAGGAAACTAAATAAAACGTAAACCGTAAACAAGGTACAAGCAACAAGGTTATAGTCATAAGTAGAAGGCGATGGGTAATAGGAAGGATGAGAAGAATAGTAAAAACTCTATAGTAAAATATATACACGGTATAAAAACTATATAGTAAATATATATATAGTAAAAACCCTATATAGTAAATGTATATATAGTAAAAAAAACTATATAGTACAAATATTTTTAAAAAACTTTATGGTAAAAATATAAAAACAATATAGTAAAATATATATAGTAAAAAAACTATATAGTAAAAATAGTAAAAACGATATATATTTACTGTATATGTACTGAATTATATATATATATAATTCAAGAACTATATAGTAAATGTATATATACTGAAAAAACCTATATAGTAAAAATATTTTTAAAAACTATATAATAAAAATATAAAAACTATACAGTAAATATATATGTAGTAAAAAAAAACCTATACAGTAAAAATATAAAAAACTATATAGTAAAAATAGTAAAAACTGCAAGGCTGTTGGGGGGAGAAAAGCTGATTTCAAGTTCTGCCATTCTGGGTTGAGGTATTATTTTATTTTAATCTTATTTTATTGAACCAGCCACTCGGTTTTTAATTAGAAAGTTACCAAAAGCGTCGGAGCGGAGGGCTAATTAACATTTCGCAGCCAGTAAGCCGCCGAGCCTTAAGGGGGAAACCTGAAACTCGCAGCCCAAAATATTCACGGGAAAGATTTGCACAATATTTTTTTTTCCCTCCCCGCCTGGCCAAGCCCTCGAGAGCCCTTCCTTTCCCGCGGAGCCCTCAGGATGAGCGCAAAAAAATAAAAGGGCGCAACGGCGGTGGCCACCGATTTTTTCTCCACCGACAATTGCTCCAACATCCGCCAAGGGGGATTTCCAAGCAGATTTCCAAAGGATGCTCTTTCCACCCGCGTGGAAGTCCCTTCCACTTCCCACTTCCCCCACCACCACCCACCCACCCACTTCTGCTTTTGCCCCGGGTCAAGCCATCCTCCAGCCACTCACCCACGCCGCGCCAGACCCGGGAGAAATCCTTCAACCTTCGAGCCAAGCTCTTCAAATTTCCACACTTCCTGCTGTGGAAGGAGCCCGGGATCAGGGCACTTGGAGAGACCCCCTCCACAGTCCACGCGGAGCGAGGGGGAGGGAGACCCCCACCCCACCCCAGTACCCGATCGCGAGTGGGGGAGGCTTCGAACCTGGTTCCGAGGAGAACTTTTTGGCCAAGGACCAAAGAACCAAGGACCTCCCCCACCCTCCAAAGCCAGGGGAGGGTGGGAAGGATTCAGGGTCGCCCGAGAAAGACCCCCCCTTCCCAGTCACTTACCAGCATCGGAGGGGTCCCGAAGTTGTGGCCGCCGCTGCTCCGGGGCTTCCACCCTCCCCCCCCACACACATACACACACTCAAAGCATGCCCAGCTGCGCCTTCTCCCCGAGCAAAGCAGGCAGGAGCTGGGTGTAGCGCAAAGTCGCTCCTCCTTCCCAAACTGCTCCCGCCCCCCCCCCGCCCCCCAAGAAGGGGAGGGGGGTGATCCCGGAGGCTGGAAGGGGAAGGTGGAGCGATGGGCAACGGGAGAGGAAAGGGGGAGGGGGCTCGAGGGAGGGAGGGAGCATCCAGGCTGTGGGAGAACACAGACCAACAAGGGGAGGGGGTTGAAAGGGGGGGGGGCAAAACGCGGGCAGGGGTTTAGGAGCCTCCCCATGCGTGGCCAAACCCGCCACTGCCCACTCCCCCGCGGAAATGTTCCTCCTCTTTCTCCTTCTCCTCCTCTTCCTCTTTCTCCTCCTCTTTTTTCTCCTTCTCTTCTTCCTTCTTTTCCTCTTCCTCCTTCCCCTCCTCTTCCTCCCGCTCCTTGGCTCTCGCGCGAGGCTGACCCTCTGCCCCCCCCCACACACACACCACCTCTCACTTTTAAAGGAGGGGGGGGCGACGGTCCTTATTTTTCCGTCCCGTGGGCGGATGGCGAAACTTGAGTTTGCAACAACAAAGAAACTTTTGTTTCCAAAAGTTGCTCTCGGAGGAAGAGAGAGAGAGGGAGAGAAAGAGAGAGACGAGAGATACAGACCTGGTAGGGGTCCGGATTTGGGCTGCCAGTCCGGGGTCCAATTGGGGGCGTGTGGAAAGGGGTAGTTGGGCTGGGATTGGAGAGAGGTTATGGCGGGGGGGGGGGGGGGGGGGAAATCGATGCGGGCCCTGAGCGATTCCCTCTCCTTGCTTGCAAGATTCTGTTGAAGACTTTGGAAAAAGGGCAGAGAAGAGCAGCCAAGAGAAATTGAAGGCCTGGAGACAAAAGAAAACATAGGAAGAAGGGTTGCAGGAATTGGGTTTGGCCAGTCTAGAGAAAAGAAGAATTAGGGGGGCATGAATTAGGGAGTTCCAGGATTTGAGGGGCTGCCCCAAAGAAGAAGGGGGGGTCAATTTAATTTCCAAAGCACCAGAAGACAAGAAGGAATGGATGGAAACTCACCAAGGAGAGAAACAACCTGGAATTACGGAGAAACTTCCTAACAGGGAGGACAATTAATTGGTGGAACAGAAGTTGTGGGTGCTTCCATCACTGGAGGTTTTTAAAAGGAGACTGGACAGCCACTTGTCTGAAAGGAAATAGGGTCTCCTGCCTGAGCAGAGGGTTGGACTAGATGACCTCCAAGGTACCTTCCAGCTCTGTTCTGAAACTTGCTCCACAGCTTTGCAAATCCCTAGGAGAAACTCCATCCCTTGAACATCTGCCTCCTGGGCAGCCATTAAAGCAGGCTTTCTCAACCTCAGCAGCTTTAAGGGGTGTGGACTTCAACTCCCAGAATTCCTCAAGCCAGCAGGATTAAAGTTGCAAAGTTCTGGGAATTTAAGTCCACCCCTCTTAAAATTGCAGAATTCTGGGAATTCAAGTCCACCCCTATTAAAGTTGCAGAA